TTTTACACAACCAGTGACGTCACAGGGCTGTTTTGGCCGCGCCAAGATGGCCGCCAGTTTTGATCTCAGCCGGTCAACTTCGAATGGTTAAAAATGTACTTTCGGCTATGCGTTGGCCCAAAAAAAGTACACAGCGTTTGCAAATAACGTTCAAACTCTATTATTTTGCAAAAATCTCGGATACGAAAATTACGTTTCAGTAGCACTTTAAACAAGAGTATTTCTTATAACTAATCTCACCTGTAATGTAGCATTTTGATCCCGTAGGTACATCTGAGTCGCTAGATGGCAGGCACACAGGGTTCACCCTGACAGAGAGTTTCACAGACCTAGCGAGTTCAATCAGGGCGATGTCATTGTTGAGTCTACCAGGTCGATTGTATTCGGGGTGAGAAATGATTTGCTTGGCGCCAACCGACTCTTCAGTTCCCTCGTTAGCATTTCGGTTGTGATCACCAACGACTATTCTGTAATTGGCAGGATTTCTACAAATAAACAATACGAGGTAAGAGTTGATTCATCCTTAATTGTAACATGCTTGAAAACGACCAACAATGGTCAAGATTTCGGACTCTTAAATCTGCAATTATTGGGTAAAGAATTTTTTTTTTTCCATGAAGAAGTATAACTATAGGATTGGATGTGAATTATGCACCGGAAGTTTATTTACTTGCTTGCACTTGTTTATTCGGTCAATCAGTTGCTAAATCATTGGTTGTTAATTCGTCGGTCGGTCGTTCGTCTGTTCGGATGGTAACTGTTTGTTTTGGTTTATTCGATGGCCAGTCAGTTGTATTTGGTAGGTTATTCCAGTTACCTCAGCTGATCGGTCGACGCTAGTAGTCAGTCGATTGTTGAGTCCGTAATTCATTTGGTTGGACGATTTTGGGTCTTTATTTGGTAACACAGAAGTGAAACGTTAGTCATGCGCCAAAAAGCCACTACTTACGAGCTGCCTGCTACACAATGGGCAGCGGTAACTACCCAATTGGCAGAAATGAGCGATCCTCCACAAATAAAACGGTTATATCGTTGTAACGCGATCTAAATGGCGAAACAAAATTGAAATAATTAAGGTTAATTTTAACGTGCAGTTGAACGGACTTCACCGAACCTTGTCTACAAGCTTGATAAGAAAAGCATGATGAAAATTCAACAAGAAACGTTCAAAAGTGTCAGTAATACAAAGCACATCCTGTCTTAATTTATCCGATGTAACTCCTAACTGAAGTTACTTTCATAACAGTCTCAATATTTTGTGGTATGAAGTTTGTGATCTCTCGAAACAGAAGCAGACAACTTACGAAGATTTACACAGGCATAGAGGTCATACCTGCCAAGGCCAAGCTCCAGGCTTCGCATCTTGGCCTCCAATGACACGTGACTGAGAGATGGGCGTGAAGCCACACGGTTGTTGTCCTGTCGTGAAATGACAACAAATTATATTTAGTCAGTCATGTCAATGCAGAAAAAGGCTGCGAATTTTTTCTAGAGAACCAATTCATATCTACCACTGATTCAGATTTCTTGTAATCTTGAGAATGCTTGAACGACTGAGGTCAACAACAAAATTTGATCAAAATAAGGCAATGGTATTAAATCATTCTAATTACATCGTTTGGGATCATCAATTTTATACCTATCAAGTAATTTAAGTATCAACGAACGCGTTAGGTAAGAGGGAGAAGGTAGAAACTAGAAAAGAACTTTGCAAACGAAGACTTTTAGCAGTGAAATGAGGCACTGCAAAGAAATAAAGTTACCCATACATCTTTAACATGAAAAGAAGTTATAATCACTTGACGGTGATCGATAAGCCTAACCTGAAACAGACGTCCCCAACAGTAGCAAAACTAGGAACATCATCTTGCGATGCTCAAGGACGAATGTAAAAGCTTTCTAGATCAGGAACATTTATTTCATTCCGTTAATGTGAATTTTAATCATTGAGAGCCATTAACAGATCAGACTTAACACCCATGGCTAGAGAAAGCGAAAAATTGAACAAATATTCGTTCTTTTTAATGGTATTCATTAAAGCTTTCCTTACCCTTTGTTTATCGTCAAAACGGAGCGAAGAGTGACTTTTTGTAAAATTACCTACATGTCGACTAGCACAGCTGTGTGCTGGACCAAATACAGGTCAATTAAGCTTTTACTTACACTTAATTTCCAACCTTTTAATGTTATTCCTTAAAGCTTTCTTTCCTTTTGTTTATCGTCAAAACGGAGCGAAGAGTGATTTTTTGTAAAATTACCTACATGTCGACTAGCACAGCTGTGTGCTGGACCAAATACAGCGGGTCAATTAAGCTTTTACTTACACTTAATTTCCAACCTTTTCTGTCTCTAAATGTTGAAAAAAGTTTTCTTTAATACTGCCCAAATGCCGACCTGACCAGCTGCCCACAAGATTAAACAGGATTAAGTTAAATTGATTTTGTTCAATGATAGAAGTGCTAGCTGTATACATTATGAGGAGTTTCTATGCTGACAACTGCGGTTATTACACGTTCATTATTATAAAAAGTTGAAGTCTGTTTGATTTTAAAAGCTGAATCTAAGTAACATTTTAAGCCTTTGCACGCTGGCATTTAATCTTCTTATTTCTGAGAATTAAAAGTAAATAACATTTTCAATTTTAGGCTCCGCTTCTAGCTGTTCGATTAAAAGCGATTTTTTTAAAATTGTAAACATTGCTTTCCACCTTTTTCACTATACACCAGCTTCGTGAATTTAGCTTTAGGGCAGTTGGCTGCTTTATAAACTGAGGCGATATTTTATTTCATTATTTTGGTAGAATGCATTGTTAGTGATGGCTTCGCAACCGCTTTAATTTAAGAAATCATGTACTACATTGTTAGCTGAATTGAGGTACAAAAGTGAAAGACCCCATAACAAAAGGAGTAGGTTTGGATTGCTTCCTATATTATTCCGAAGAATGCATGGTCTTTTATTCACAGGATAGGAAAATTTGTCAGGTTTAAAGGCCTTCCTTGCTCTTTGATCTGGGATCTTCTTTTATTAGCTCTAATATCAAACTGCAATAATTTTTTTCTTTCTTTGTGATTCTTTGTTCCTTTCTTAAACCCAATCAGAATTGGCAAATTGTACTTCAAATAAAACGAAAGCTCTAGCTTAAAGGCTAACAGATTCGTCCTGCAAATTGGTAATTGCGACCAAATTGTGAGGAAATTTAATGACGTGTGCAAACACCTGATCAACTTTTGAGAAACAATCTAGCATTTAGGGGAAGACTGAATTTTATGTGAGAAGGAACTTCGGTGGAATTAATGGCTGAATAAACCAATGTTTCAAATTATTCCTTCGTCGGTAACCTAGAGAGAGCTTTTGGAAATTAACGTTCATTGTAGCTATCGTCTGCGTGAAGAATGATTGGGTTTACCGACTGGGTCAATTGGAGATGTACCCTAAATTCAATGATATCGTCTTAAATAAAATCTTTCCCTTATCAAAATCTATTAAAATCACAAGCTTCGACTACCATTCTAAGGCCTCTAAGACCAAGAACGCATTTAAACGCAAGATAAGTATTGCATAAATCCAAAAATGAAAGTGTGAAAAAGTGTATTCAGTGAAATATACAATATTTGCGGTGTCAAAGGAAGAGCGGCTTTGGGGTGTTTCTTCCTGCAGGATGGCCCTAGGTACACCTATATTTCACTAAAACAATTATAATCAAAAATGAACGTAAGGTAGGCCCGTTACAACTGTATTAAATGGAATTCAACAGTTAAAATAAGATACGCGAAACCCCGATTTAGAGAATCTAACAATACAAACGGTGTGAATAGTGAAATACTTTTTCAGAGTGAATGTTAAAATTCATCTTTTATCGCGTACTTTTATCGCGCAATTTAAAACCTTTAATTGCTACAGAAAAAAGAACTCATAGAATTGCGATACTTGTGTGGTTTGTTCAACGCACAGGCACAGGCACTCCTTTCATTATCAAGTGGTCCTATTGTTAATTGATCGCACCGTTTGCACGTGTGGGTGGAGCTTTAAATTAGTCTTCAGAGGAAGTGATGCTATGTTAACTTTCCTCAAGTTCAATCGAATGCTGACAACAAAGTGCTACTCTATTTTCAACGAGTTGATGGCCACCCTACCATTCGCACAGCTGTACCATTCTTATCAGAGCTCGCCAAGATTTCCTGGCATTTTTGGCAAGATCTAGTGTGAAGATCTCAGGCACAGCGTACATTTTCCTAAATTTCAATAGAAAGCCTATCAAAAAACATTTTCTTCTGGCATTGTCACCCCTCCCATTTGTGCAAATGTTTTGTCCTTATCAGATTCTGCGAAGACCTTCTAGGGGGGACAGATAAAAACTGCAAAGCATGCTTACAATGCATATCACGAGTAAAAAAATACGACTTGGGACATTTTCAGTAACATGTGACTGTTAACAAAGTCTTTTACCATTTTTCTGATCATGTGTGAATTCATTATATGCATTTAAAGATCCGACCATCGTCGAGCGCCAGAGAATGACACAAACTTACTAAGAATGTATGTCAAATCTCGGCAACAAAAGAAAAACTCAAACCTAAATTTCAATCGTATAAAATAAATGCCACCTTTACAAGATCGTTTGTCTTGCGACGTAGTGGAGGTAACATTTTGATGAGCTCGGCAGAAGACCGTCAGTTGGATTTAGAGAAAACTGCCAAAAATAGAGTCCAGCGGAGGTTCGTAGTTAAGACTTTGCGCTCCAAAGCACGAGCGAAGATGGCCTAATCTCAATATGACGTTTCTAATCGAACGACACCCTACAACCCTTCCTTGAATCAGCTTTTGCGTATTCAATGTTTCCTCTTCCAATTATGGTATGGTTAAATTCAGCTTGTATTATTTTTCCTTCCTGCCAGGTTTAAGCTGGCTTTAGAAGGCACCAGTTTTGTTTCTATGCCTTTATTTCAAGCATATAACTTCTTATTTCGAAAATAATTCTCATTCTCTAACGTCTAAATTTCTTAATGTATATTTTTTTTAGCCTGGCATAAAAGGCAGCCGCCCCCAGCGGCAAAACATAGATAAAGGACTTAAATTAAGGCAATAAAATCTGAAACAACACAAACCGATAGATTGACGTTTTCACGTGTCAAATAAAACTTATCAATACAGTAAACAGACCACTAGCTGACTTACAGCTGTCCATGGTCTTTATGGAAGTGCTATGGCTAATTCTTTAGAAGAAATTTTGGCCGAGCAGTCATTCCATTTATCCTTAACGTTGATCCATGAAAAAAAGTTACTTAAACTCGTATCGTGAGGTGATTGTAAAGTGAGATGTTTTGTAATTAGCACGTTTCTAATTTTGTTTTGTTCTACTTCTAAATTCCTTCGCGTAAAAGCATCAGGATTTAAGCCAAATAAACCGTTAACGAAATATGACCGAGATTTCCTCTTACTGCTAACTTCAGTGTACACGATAAATGATACTACAACTTAAAAATGGTTTCCTCAAAAAATGATTGGGATTCAAACCCTCTTCTTTTCTTCAAAATATCTTTTTTTAAAGGTAACCTTGTCCTACAAGCCCAGTTTGTTCAAAGTGTAAATAAACCGGTTGTTCGGCTTGTGAAAAAGTGGACTCTAACATAAAAGCCAGGTATTAAGCTTAAAAACGGATCTATCCTCCCAAAGTGAAAGATTAGCCCGTAAGAAACCCAACTTTGTATTAACTGAATGGGAAGATGTTTGGTAATAACTTTACGCTCCAAGTTATAGCGAAAGTCTACGAAATAAGAATAAAAATAAAATTTGCGTTGCTTGAGCAATTTATGGCCCTTCCTTTATCTTTGTGCGCAGTTTACAACGTGCGGTTGAGGAAAAATTCTTTGGCTAAGCCACAAGTGGGGTTCACACACATCGGGCAACGAAGGGGAAGCTGGCGAGAGCAATTAACTCCTGAATCCAAATGAACTTTTACAACGTCAGCCATCGCCTGCAAAGAGAATATTAGAGACACTTCATGATCACTGCAATACTGTTCGGCCGTGCTAAAATATCAGATTTCTTTCGTGGTGCAGTCCTTTCAAACAATAGATCTCAAATACGTGTACACTACAACCTCTCCATAACGTCAAAACAGAGAAAACTGCTAGGACTGTCACAGGACTGTAAGATGGTCCCTCCTTTTGAAAGTTTGAACAATCTCATTTTAACACTCATACAGGCTTGCGGCGCATTACAGATAACGCAATCTAAATCTAACGATGGCGGCGAAACTGAAATGATCCTAAAAAGAAACTTATCAGCCGAAAATTGAGAAAAAAGGTTACAACAGATTACACAATGTGGAAAGAATGCACAAGAGTTAGTTCAACCACTCAAAAAGAAAAGAAAACTAGGAAACAAAACGAAACATGGTATAAAGCAAAGTACTTACCTTGATAAAAGTTGGACTATCATTCAGTGAAGCTGCTCTTCGGATATTCTCGATACCAACCTAAATAATCCAAAATCATATCAAGAATGAATTCAATCTAATTTTTGTACTTTCCTCATAATTCTTACGCTGCGAATAGAGATAAAATTCTGATTTTCAGAGACATTTCCCGTGTAACAAAAGGCCATTTGCCGTTGCGACTTGCCCTCCGCAGCGCGTCTCAGCGATTTGTTTCGAAAGCCGTACACTCAAAACGGCTTTCCCGGAGAGCGGTCGCTGCGCTTTCTCAACCTTCCAAATAAGCGTAGTACTCGGTGTTTTACAGTCGGGAGGAAGTGCGCGCGAGGAAAGCACAGGGGGAAAATCGCGCGTCATTTCATCAGTCATTTCTTCGTACCCCTCTCTGTCACGCGTGCCCGGGCTGGGCTAAAAGTGCAATGAGATAACGCCTCTTCTTCAGCCAAACGACTTTTCGCCCTAACACGTCCTGAGCTTCATAATGTAGCGATCAGCTGAAACACTCCAGGTTCAGAGGAGCGTACTGCTTTACTCCTCAGTTCACCGAAACACATTTTTACATTTCCTTTCAAAGTTGTTCCCCAAAAAGTTCACAGTTGTGATGAAATGGCAAAGATAGTTACATCAATAAAACTTACCTCATGTAAAAAGGATGAAAAAAACAAAAAAAAAGAAGAGAAAGAGAAAAGCATTTACAGCTACAAAGCGAGCCAGCGAGCAGGTTCTCAGAAGCACTGCAGCACTAGTGACGAAGCCTTCGATCCGAACCGGCGAACGAAGCGAGGAGTCTAGAACTAAAAATGCTAAAAAACCTTTCGGACTCCTCTCCCGCCCTTAAATCGCTTGACGGTTGAAATGCCTGGCAGCACAACTCGAGTCGTAACCAAAAGAACAACGTAATACCTTTGAAAAGGGTATTTTCAACACTTAGTATCAGAATAGTTGATCTAACCTCGTGAGCAACCTCTTCTGCATACTCTATATCCAGCTCATGAAGTGTCTCAATATGGTCAGAGGTGAAAGCGATGGGAACCAAAAGGATATTCTTTTTTCCCTTCTTTGCAAGGCCCTTAATTGAATCCTCCGTCTGAGGTCCAAGCCATGGCATGGGGCCCACCTATAGAAGAACCGTTATTAGGATTGAAGAAAAAGGGTGATTCTGGCAAGGTGTTCTTAAAGTAAATAGACATTTGTGTGAAGGTAAAATAACTGTAAGTGAGACACCATAACTTCAGTATACATACTCTGCATACTATCATCTGTAAATTTCCTATGGTGCTGACTACAAGAATTTGTTAAACAATCCAGAGCTTCTTTAGTTGGTGATCATTTCATTTATTCCCGTGACCTCGTTATTTGCTTCAGAGTGATATTGTGGGGAGGAATTACAAGCTGGTCACTCTTGGGGTTTTTAAGGGTTCAAGGGACTGCACAGACATCACAGCGATTTATAAAAATTCTGTCTACTATACTCCAACAAGCCAACGCAGCAGTCTTTCATTTGCAAACTCAAGACCACACTAGGTTGACATAGGTGGAATGTACAGCTTATCATACTTTTATCAATGTCCAAATGATGCTGTAGTCCAATGATGCTAACACAACTGGTTAATTCATTAGTACTGAACTATCATTACAATTTAACATTGTGTAACATCATGAAATTGTTCACACAAGTGAAGAATCTCTCCACTTCAAAAATAATAGAATTTCTCCAACCTACTTGCTTTATTTACAAGAGTTTCTTACCTTTGATTGCCAAACAAGTCTGTATGGATGGGAGTAGTTCAATGATTCCATCACCCTTTGTACTGTGGCAGCAACTTCTTGAGGATATGGGTCACCCCTATCGACAACCTACAACACAAAGAAAATGCTGCTAAGTATAGTGAACACTCTAATTATCACGGTTATCATCATCATCATCATCATCATCATCATCATCAATATCACTAGAGGAATATCTGCTGATATTCCTCAGTTTTTTTTACACAAAATTTACCTGCTCCCATACTGGATTTTTATCAGCGCAAATAATTAATATCTTGTTGTTATTTAAAAACTGTAAGAAATTTAAAAAAAAAATTTTCAAAATTTGCCACACAATGGCTGGAAAAAAGCTGTGGTTTAGAGCAAAAAAAAACAATGCAATTCAAAAGTGGATGGCACCAGTAAGAACCAATCAGATCACAAGGATCACCAGTGATTTTGAAATGGATTTACATTTTAATTGGGTAAAACTGAACCACACCATACCTTCATTGGAAGAGAGTGGGCAGAAAACAGAATAACCACTTCGTTTTGGACATCAGCAGGAAACTTTGCTAACTCTGCCTGGATGTTTTCTGCAAAGGCCTTCAACAAAGAAAAAAACCATAACAAAAAATAAATCTTTAATCCCATGTCATCAAAAATTGGCATGAATAGCAGTTAATATACAGAAAAAACTGACCATTACCACCATGAAATAAATACCCTGAAACCTCACTTGACCCCTCCTATAATTGAACAAAACAATGAAACTCAACAAATACCTGAACAAGACCAGGATGGGTTGGCCACCGGTCTATGACACTCCATTTGATTCCAGGCTTCTCTCCTCTTTGCTTGTAATGTCTGTAGATTGCATTTAAACTGCTCCCAGTTGTGGAACAGGAATACTGAGGATATTGAGTGAAAGCCACAGCTCTTTCTATACCATCACTAATCACATTGAACAGAAAAGGACAAGAATTAAGCTCATGCCAAAAGGGCTTCCTAGAGAGGAATCAGATCTAATTTTCAGCCTGCTCACTTTTGTATTTTTCATGTTTCCCATTAACCCATCAATGGCCTCAGCTTTTGTGAAAAACTGTGTTTTGAAGCTAGTCGAGCAGATTTCGGGTCACTGTTGTGGTTTTAAAAGCTCAAACTTACCAAAAACCCATTAACAGCTCATACACTCGAGGGACTTTTGATCCAAATGCAAAATGGTGGCCTGAAAATCTCTGGCACGCGCAGAAAGCAAAATTTCGAGATAGTTTTTGGGTTGAAAAGTAATGCCCCACTTACGACTTTTACTTTTCTCTCTTTCTCCTCCCCTTTTTTCCCCCTCTCCTTGCCTGAAGTTTCTCTTCACTTGCTGGAAATTTAGTAGGCTTCATTTTGGTGTAGAAATTTTTTAGGAAACTACTCATTATTTTCAAACCACATGCTCAGAAAGGTAGGTGGGTAATGGAACAAGATTTTTGTGCAGATTTTCAGGTCAAAGTTACATGGTTTTTTGGCTATTTCTCCAATCTCCTTCACTCAATTGTGCTCATTCTGGTATTGTTTGTAAGATAGTTTAAACCTGTTTAAGTATGTGCTCAAAGTGGTGCTCCAGGGTTAAAAGTGATGATGTCACAAGGTGTAGAAAGGGTGTGGGTCCACATGGGCGCATACGGGCACACTGGACGTCAATAGGTTAAGGAATTTCTTTCACCAAAATCTTAATCACTTGGAAGATTGTACACTTGTATAAATTAAATGTACATGTACAATCACTTATAATTTCTAATTTTTTTTGGTTAGTTCTTTAATTTTCCCTCTCCTTAAAACACTGTGAATGTTCCATTGAGAAATACTTCAATAACATCGCAATTCCAGCAAAGGATCCTTGTGTGTAAAAAAAAAAAAAAGAAAACATTTTTAAACTGAACTACCTTTCCATCTGATCCAAAGTTTCCTCTGTTAAAGGTTTCACATAACGGAATCCAATATAAAACTTGTGAGGAGCTGCATGAGAAGATACATATTACTCGCTTCTACAAGTTAAGGGTGCACTCACTGTTCTTTGTCAAATAGGATCTCTCCTAGTTTCTTTAGGAAAATATCTGTGCATTGTGTTGATTGTGAAGAAAGGTTTGGGATCAATGCAATTAATTGACAAGGCAAAGAGGCATGTCTATAACAACACAGTAACATTCAAGCACATAGACAGTAGAATTATGCCTTTACATAACATATTTTTCCTTTAAATGTGGGTAAAAGATAAAATGTTCGACAAACAACTTAAGCTCATTACTTCAGACAATGGTTGGTGAAAAAAATTAAAATTATGTGGAATTTAAGAGGCATTGAAAGGCAAACCATGGCTTCTGAGAGAATTGCATAGCACACGTTATTTTGGCAATGAGATAGAACCAAATAGAAAATCAGAAACTAAGGCTTTAATCATGTGAGTTATGACAGATATTAACATTGTGTCTCTCTAGAGAATTAAAACACATTTCTTGAACATTTGGCTGGAATCTAAAGGTTTTAGCGAGTTATATGTAATTGTGCAGGTCTGATTGGGGGTCATATACATGTGCCATAATAGAAATCCTGTGTATGTGATGTGGTCCAACATTCTATTCTCTTTGTCACACAAGCTTAAGCGGCAAAAATTTGAAAAACACAGAAAAGTTATAGTGAATAACACGAACCACAATCATACCTGAATCGGGGCACATGTCATCAAGCAGTTTTATCATTCCCTCTCCTTGTTTTTCAGTCCACATTTTGATAGGAGAGCCACCACCTATCTTTTGATACTGTTCCTGGATTTTAGGGGTTCTTCTTCTGGCAATCCATTGAGCCATCTTACTGTATATGAAAAAATATTGAATCCCTTATGGCACTTCCAAAATAAAATTATGTCATAAGTAAACTTTCAGGAATAAATGCATGCATTTGTGCCTGTAGAGGATACAAGATTACATGACTGTATAACTATACCTTCCCAAAGTGATGCACATTAAATAACAAGTTGTAACACCAGAAATGTTCAAAACAAAGAGAAGACAAATACACTATCTTACATGTATATTGTATTTCTTTCATTATTTATTAATCTATTTTTTCCTTGTACATACAAGCAGCACAGTTTGCTAAAACAGATGTCTAAAACACAACAAGCTAGACCAAAATATTGCTGGACAAACCTTTGAGCAGGTAAAACCATAAGGTCACGATCAGAAAAAAGTCGCAAGAGAAAATCATGAACCTCATTTGTTGTCTCTGGACCTCCCATATTCAGAAGCATTATTCCTGTTTTTGGTTTCAAGTTGGCTTGCTCGGAACTATGCAAAACAAAACGAATTGCACATTAAGTATTGTTTATAAGAATGGATACAAAAGGATGCTGATTAATGCAGAACCATGATGGCCTGAAACTTCTAACTTTTACAGAATATCCAACCCCCTGCAAAAAAAGGATAAAAAGGAACTGATGTTAAACATAGCCCCCTAAAAATCTTACACACATTCAGAATTATCAAAAACATACCAAACCAATTCATTGTAACTGAATACTACGAAGTTATATACCAAATGAAAGTGCTCATGTTAGAAAAAAATGTACATTGGACCACATCCCTCTCGAAGTCACATGCCTGCTAGAACCAAGGATGATTTTAGAAGCCTTGAACAAACTATTTACCTGCGTTCAATGTTACATGCAGAAAAGAGATGTTTGCATAACACTGTTGCTAATCATGTTCTAGCATCCTGCTAGGTTCACAAGATCTTGGTAATAAGCTGGGACTGGCTCACACACAGTGCCAATTGTTTGACTAAACCAGACTGTTTCTCATCAAATCTGGTCTGATAATGTATGGGGTGATTTCTGTAAGCGTGGTTTTACAGCCAAAACAAATAACATGTGCAATCGTGTGCTGTGTTTTTCATTGATTGAAAAGTAGAGAAATCAAAATCCTGAGAAGTCAGGGCTCGACACTAACAGTAGCCCACTAGCCACAGACCAGTAGAAATTCAGTTTTGGCCAGTGGTTTTCTGTTTCCACGAGCCAGTTTGGCTAGTAAACAAACTGACATTGTCGTAACATCTAAGATGTCACCAGCCACTGGGCTAGTAAGTTGAAAAGTTAGTGTCAAGCCTTGAGAAGATAATTTTCTTAGAGGAATCAACAAATGATTGTAGCTCAATTTATTCTTCAACACCTGCAAAAAACAATAATCCCATTTTTTAAGTTCTTCCCAATGTTTCTTTAGTTAGACCAGCAATCATACAAGAAAAATCTCAAGATGAGTAAAACTGTAGTTGTACAAATAAAGGTTCAGTGGCCAAGCAAGGTAAAAGAAAACACACTGCCCTAAGGGTTGGAAAGCATATAATATTTCATAATTTCTGCAAAATCAAATAGCCTACCAGCAGGACTCTAGAACATGATTAGCAGACGTCCCTTTTCCTCGTGCAACAAAGGAAATAGGAGACGTTTGTATGCAGGCAAACAAAATATCCAATACCACCTAAAAATGATAAACTTGAAGCCGATAGTATGAACATGTGCTTTATGCAAATATAACAGCATCCAGTCATTTCGCATCTACAATTGTTTCATACCCTGTGCTTTCATACCCTATGGTTTCATACCCAAATTCAGTTGTTTTGTACCCAGTTTGAGTCAGTTCATACCCAAACTCCTGGTCAACTGAGACCCCTCACAATATAACTTCATTAAAAAAAAAAACTCTCTCAAGAGGGCATGGGCAAATGATGGATGCTCCATAGGACAAGCATAGGACAAGATAGTAGAGTCAAGCAAACGAGATACAAGCAAAATTCTGTTGTGTATACTTGTGACCTTCTTAGCAAACAAACTAAATCATTGTCTAGCACAAGGTGAGCATAATAATTATTTCTAACTAACCAGTTTATTGTATGGAATAAGAAAGATGGTAAGTTTTTTTTAACAAAAACACAACGCTTTTTCGACATTGCTGATCCCAGCAGTATGCAGGACGCATGTCAAATATGAACTTCATAATGAACCTTGCTCACTATAGTCTCTGTGGCTCTGTGGTAGAGCATCCGAGAGCAGAATCTGAAGGTCTGAGGTTCAATTCCTCATGGGGACTCAGAACTTTTTCTTTGTCCCTTGCTCGTGTCATTGACAGAAAACATCTTTCTATAGACCATCATCATCATCGGTCTTCTTCGTGCTCTGTTGCGCATAAGGCCTTGATACTTCTCTTCCATCGGTCCCGGTCTCTTGCAATACCATTCCTTGCTTCTTCCCATGACTTCCAACCTTTCTATAGACCAGTCTATTGTTTTTACTTTGGCTATCTCCACAATAACAGCTGGGGTAGGTGTGATTTTTTTTTCTCTCCTTGTTATTTACTATAACAAATTTGTTTAGTTAAGTATGAAACTACTGGGTATGAAAAAACCATGGGTATGAAACCAGCAGTTACCAATAAAACTTATTTTAAGAAACATTTCATACTTAGCATCATTTTGAAAGTGACAGTATCTAGTACTGAGATTGGTAATATATGTCACATTGTGTTTTAGAAATCATTCACACCCATACCAATTAAGAAACAAAAACCCTAAATAACTGCCTTGCACAGGGTCTGTTATTTTTAATAGAACAGTACTTTGTTTGTAATTTTGACTTTTAACATACTTAGCACAGAAAAAAACACTTTAATAGTATGGGTACGAAACAACTCGACTGATAAGGTATGAATCCTTGAATATGGAAATGACAGGTACGAAACGAGCGTGGGTACGAAACAACTGGTGACCAATAAAACTGTCTTTAAAAGAGAGGTTTTGTACTTAGCGTTAGTTCAGAAGTGACGGTGTTAAGAACTGACGTTGGTTTAAGTCTCAAGGTGTACTGGGAATCGTTAAGTAATGTGATGAGTGTCAAATTTTAATCAAGATTAATTTATCATGGTCCTAATCGTAAAATTCAAATTCACTTTGGTGACAAGAAATAAAAAAGGTTTAATTTTTCAAGTAGAGAAAAGCATATATGCCCGTGGGCTTAAAAGTCTTAACAGGAATTTTCCTTCTAAACATACAAAATGGAAAAGCGGCGTCACGGAGGATCTCTTACGTAATCATGACCATGGATCGTTCGAATCATCATCGCAATTTTATTTTAATATTAAATTTAAAACCCACAGTCTATTCCAGAAGTTACCTTTCTCCCATTTGCTGTGCTACTCCAAGACATGAAAGTCTCGACGAACTACCAAAGTTACAACTTCGCGGCGCGAAAGGAGAACATTTGATCGAGCTTGCATAGGGACGTGTCTGCGTCGAAACAAGCGAAGGAAACAAGTAATCTGCAATCGAGAACAAAAGTAGTGTACTTATATTCTGATATCGCGACCCTTCTAAATATCATTAGTGATAACTTACTAAAGTTTGCTTGAAGTTTACAAAGGTTTCGAAGGGCCATTTTGTTTGCCAGTCCAATACAAACTCACAGGCGCACCAGTTAAGAGTGGAAACTGGTAACTACCCTAAGTTAGTGAGTTATATATGGTAATTGACATGTACCTTATCTTCCACCCGATTCGCCTTTAATCTACCGCTTATAAGCGAATCTAATTATTCTCAAATTACCGCATACATGCGGATAAAGTAGGCCCTATTTACCTACCGAGATTAGATTACCGAGAACAAAAAAAAGGCCTGGTGCTAGAATCGATGAGTTCTGTAGGCGCCATTTTAAAATGCCTCCCCGTAAAGATTTTCGATCTAAAAGGGCTTTTAAAGTTGTCAGTTTTAAAGCAGGAAAGGCAGTAAAAAAACAGAAAATTAATGTTCCTGGTAGATTAAATGTGCAAAAAACCGATGCATCGAGTTTCGCTTCAAATATCGATGTAACTAGCGACGAGCAGATCTCACAGTCGGCAGCTGAGGTCGATGTGGATAATTTTCCTGCAGACGCTAGTGTTTCAACAGGATCAAGAAAATGGCCCAAATTTCGTATTAAAAAAAAGCTCAGAGCCTACCACACCAGGAAATCTAGACTAGCCACATCTTGGCTGGATTTTCGGGAGCAGATCGTGACTGCTCTTCTTTCAAGAGAAGCAATGCCCTNTCATCCTCAGTGCTAAAACACAATATCACGCAAGGCAACTCCAAGAATTGAAGTCGCTTTGTACCTCGCGTATCATCTAACGCGGGAACTTGCGGATTCGGATTTGGTTGATTTTTTGAGCGGATCGACGGATTTAGCCATTAATTGTAGCGGATCGGCGGATTTATATACCCCTATTCACCCCCCTCATTAGACGCCGAAGGCGAGGTGAATATCGTCGAATAATCCCCGAGACGAAGTCGAGGGGATTATTCGACAATATTCATCGAACCTGAGGCGAATATTTGTTTTAGTATAATTTCAGAGCTGAACAACAGAGAAATTTCTAAAATCATAACATTTTAGTAACATTTACCAACATTTTATTTTAACATTTTATATAAACAGCGTGGAGCGGTTTATATAGCGTCATATAAGGAACCGCTCGACCAATCAGATTGCTGGAAACTCTTTGCTCAGCTCTGAAATTATACTAAATAGTAATTAATATGTACCTTATCTTAGGAGAAGATGTGAAAAGGACAAAACGAAAAGTATCAACTTTCATGTTAAAAAACGGCAATGCTATTTTTATGAAAGGTTCTCAAAGATGCTAGGCTTCGGCACGATTTTGTTAAAGAAACAAAATATTGTCTTTTTTTAAATATTGGAGGTAACATTTTTAACAGTGCACAGAATCCATGAAAAAAGTCGGCAGAGTAGCGGAAACAGAATATCACGTGAAGTTGTACAGCTGTTAGCGTGGATGTTCGTAATGGCGGCTATTTAAGGCCGAAAAATATGATTTGCGCTCGCTTATGTAGTGTCACGTACATTATCGTCTTCAAAATAAAATCTATGTAAATTACCAAACGCTTTTGCCCCTGAAGAGGTTCATTTTGTAGGTAAGACGAAGAAATTAAAATTTTGGGAAAATAAAGACAGACTAGTTCGATTCAAGAATTCAAAAAGCCACCGGCGCCATTTTGAAGTACTTATAAAATTTATGTATGTTGTTGCATTCTATGCTGACCTACAATAGCGATTATAGAGAGCAGAATAACAAAACGTAAAAATGATAATGAAATTACCGCCAGTTTACACAAGAAAGCGCCGACAAGTTTTGAGTCTGGCAGAATTCTGAGTGAAGTTTTACGTGTACAATTTTTCTCAGTGGGAAACTGCAGGTTATAGTAAATTTTAACAAACCTTATCTTTAATTCGCTCTAACAAAACGTAGCCAAGTAACAAATAAGATCATAAAACAACAAAAAGTTACCGAAATGGGGGGAAATATTAGGACTACACTGAAACATTAATTCACCTGTATGTTGGGCGTTTTCCTTCAAAAACACAAAATTCCGGTGCTAAAAACGTGTAAGCTGAATATGTCCAACTCGAGAAATTGTTGAGATAAAGAATTTTTGGTGCGGCTTAAGTTGCACGTAACGCCGAAAAACATCACATTCCCATCCTTTATTGGGAATATCAAGTTGCAAGAACAAGGCTGTTCTAATTAAATGTTTTCAGATCCGAAGTGCAACCATCTTCAAGTTGATAGTTTTGCTTAAGTCGCTGATATTTGGTATGTAACGAAAGCCTCACCTAAATGAAAGCTGTGAACTTTTAAAAACGGGGTAAGTTTAGAGGGTAATTGTCTGCTGTTTTGCGGCTTTCGTTCATCAAGGAACCGCGTACGTATATATGTAAAAAGTTTGACGAGAAGGTACCGATCTCAGTGCGTTGAAACCTAGGAAAAAACCAAATTAATGGTGAAGAATTGAGACAATTTCATACGAAGAGGGTTGTCTGGCAAAGGGTTTCTTGGCAGAGGTAAGACAAATTTCTGAGCCATTCTTTGTTGTTTTTTCAAGCACGCAAACGTAAGAAAGAGAAAACTTGGCAAATTTGAAATAATGCTAGGTGAAACTATGCACCTGCAAGCTCGTTAGATTTCGAAAGTTTGACCTAAGGTTAAGACTTGAGGATATTCATAGTTCTGATTTCAATTATATCTCCGATTTTCAATAAGACAGACTCTTGACAAATGCAAACGCAAAAATGTGTATGAGATTTGCGAAGTGTTGTTGTGTAAGCGAGGGACAGGCATCATTTTGTACCAGGGATTAACCTCGACTCTGAGACGAAATTATGTTTTGACGACAACGACTTTATCGGATGCAAAAATATTATCTCCGTTTGAGTAAAGTCGCCAAGAAATTTTTTTTTCCAGTACGTGCGGTTAGGACTTAAATAATAAAACTTTTTTCTTAATATTTAACAATCATTCGCCGAAGGCGAGGTGAATATCGTCGAATAATCCCGAGACGAGGTCGAGGGGATTATTTGACAATATTCACCGAACCTGAGGCGAATAATAGTTTTAGTATAATTTCAGAGCTAAACAACAGAGAAATTTCTAAAATCATAACATTTTAGTAACATTTATTAACATTTTATTCTAACATTTTAGATAAACCGCGTGGAACGGTTTATATAGCGTCATATATGGAACCGCTCGACCAATCACATTGCTGGAAACTCTTTGCTCGGCTCTAAAATTATACTAATCCACAAATATAAATATAAATTGAATGGACAAAGACTTAGAGCCATTAACAGTTTTACCGATGCAATTGTCACAAGTGTTCGATAGTATCGTGGAGGAATTGCACTAGTCTTTCATGTTTACCTCTAGGTTGTAACATTTATTGATGATAAGAAAGGTCAAGTGTACTTCATTGTCAGACAAGTTAGAACTGAACTTCAGCATTTAACAGAGTAATTATTCAATTGGAAGAAGAAGCAAAAGAACTTGAATTTCGTTCCATACGCAACGATGAACTGATTAAATCGGAATTTGTGTGTTTTTGCAGACAGATTATTTCCTTATTAACTATGCACATATTGGCAAGAGGAATACACTTACTCAGAGTAAAATATAACCCCTCTGAAAAGTAAAACATGCGAACAATTCTAATGGCTTGCAGCATGTGGCAATAACTCGTCTGTTGATTCAAATAATACCGGCGTAATGGACAAAGGAAACTTTCGAGTTGGCAAAGACTTAAGCCGTGTTATTCTGCAATCAATAAACAACCCAAAAAAAACTCCCACCTGATGTCAAAACAATATACTCTCTTTTTCTAAATCAGCACATTTTTTATTCAATTTTTCGGTTTTTAAAGTTTTTCACACTTTCATTTTGCATGAATTTACTCCTCTAGGTTTAAATGCGCATTTGATCATATGTAAATGGCATTTGCGCACCACAAATATTAAACTATTATTATTATTGAGATATGATGAATATATGAAGTTCATATATTTTGAACTGCGGTATTAGATACGTATGATGCACGATCCTAGCAGTAGATAGCGCTATTTATGCAATAGCGAAAATCAGACCTGAAAAAAAAAATCAGGCCTGTACGGGACTCGAACCACTGACCTCTGCGATACTAGTGCAGCGCTCTACCAATTGAGCTAACAAGCCAACTGGGAGCAGGCCGTTAAGTTGATTCGTAATAAACCCGTGAAAGTGATAAATGAGATGCAATGAATATATGAAGTTCATATATTTTGAACTGCGGTATTAGATACGTATGATGTGCGATCCTCGCAGTAGATAGCGCTATTTATGCAATAGCGAAAATCAGACCTGAAAAAAA